CCCAACCCCCTGGCACAGCTCCAGCCGTTCCCTGGGTCCTTCCCTGGGCACACAGGGATTGTTCCTGCCCCTCCACAAACCAGTGCCCTGGGAGAATCTCAACCAGCTCCCAGCAAACTGTGAGGAACAGAGGATTCCCTTCAATCTCAGGAGGTGAAGCAGGTGGGAAGGGAAGGATGAATTCTTTCCTCTTCGGTGATCCAAGGTGAGGAACAGCCCGGGGGTGGTGGTGACACAACCCTGGAATAAAACTGGAAGGATTGCTCCATGTCCTGTCCAAGCCCAGGCTTTACAGGATGGAGAAATGGGACTAAATCCCCAGGGAATCCCCACTCAGTGAGGTGTGAGGGGCTGGGAGCAGCACCCACGAGCCACCCTGCAAATCCCCAGAACAACTGAGCCAGGACAGGAATATCCCACCCAGGAATTCCAGTGGGCTCAGATTTTAGGAGTGTGACCCACCCCCAGGCTGGAGGAGGATTTGCTGCAGTTTCCACCCATTTGGAGACTTTGCTCTTATTTTTTATAGAGTTTTTTTGTTCCTCAGTCAAGGGGAAAGGAGAAGCACTGGATGTCAGGGATACACAGGTTATCCTCCCATCCTTCAAGTCATAGCTCAAGTCTGGCTGTTTAGTGAGGCCTGAAAACACTAAATATTCAATACTGGGAAAGACACAACAACAACAAAACAAGGCAAATCCCCGTTATGTTAATGAGAAAATAAAATCCAAGGCAATGGTGTGGATTTCCAACTCGTGTCTGTCTCATAATGACAAGAGCAGCTTCCCAAGATCCCTGTTTGTTAAAATCCTGCCCCCACCCATCACCCCGACTGGCACCGGACTGAGAACGGCACCCAAAGGGTTCAGGATTCTTTTCTAAAGCCCAGATAGATCACTTGGATCACTGCAGGCTCTCCAGAGTGACACAACCTGGCAGGAATGGTTAATCTCTGTCACAGATCCCCTGATTTGAGAAGTTTGGGGATGGACAGTTCTTCCCACAGCAAAGTTTTTACATTTATAAGCTGCTTTTTACCCAGAAAACCCCAAATCACTCCTGAAACCAGAGATGATCTTCTGCCCACTGACACCAAACGAGAGTCCTGGAATCCTGGAGTGGTTTGGGTGGGAAGGGCCCTTAAAGCCCATCCCATGCCCTGCCCTGGGCAGGGACACTTCCACTGCACCACATTGTTCCAAGTCCCGTCCAACAAGAAGCTCCACATAAATTCCAGCAGCTCCACCAACTTCCCTGAGTCCTTCAAAACCCAAATCACGACAAGCCCAAGACAAAACAGGCCAGGGAAAGGCTTCCAAGTGAGCTGGAAACACGGGAAGAGATCCTGCGGGTCGGGAGTGCTGATCCTGGGGCCAGAACTCCCTTAAGCAGGGGGGAAAGGGAGATTTCCAGTCCCAGACGTCGCAGTTGGAGCTCAGGAAACAAAGACAAATCTCTGCAACATTTCCACAGGCACGGGGGAGCAAACACAGCCAGATTCCCGAGGGAAGGAGCCCTGATTTCTGCAGGTGGGATTTTCACGCGGATGTGTCACCGTGATCCGCTTTTATCCTGCAGTTCAAAAGGAATTCTGACCTGGATTCCTAAATTCCATCAAAAGTTGCTCGTGGCAGCACAGCCCGAGCCTTGATACCGCCACTGACATCCCCAGGAAACAGCAGTGCTGGAAAACATGCTCCAAAAGGAGCTCTTACCTGGAGAGACACCCATGGAGCACATCCCAGAGTCCTCTTTCCACGGCTTTTATCAGGATTTGGGCCAAATCCGAGCCCGGCTCTGGCTCTACCACCTTTCCCAAGCCCTCCCAGCCATCCCGAAGCGATGCTGCATTTCCAGAGGAAACTCCATCGGGGCAAAGCCTGAATGGATGTTTTGCAACAAAGCCCTCCCTGCCTGAATGCACAGGGAAAAACAACTTCCCTGGGAGGCGCAGCTCTGTTTACACAGGGAGTGGGAAGCCTTTTCCAGCAGCCCCTGCTCACATCCTGTGGAAGTGGCTGGGATGGGAGCAGGCTGTGCCCCAACGCCTCTGGGAAGCCCTGGAAGCAGAACTTCACGGATCAGCTGGGAATGCACAAACACCATGCCCAGGCTCCCATCCCAAAGCTGCAGCCTGGTAAACGGGAGCATCGGATACCTTACACTCCTGAGTCAAGGCTGGGATAATCCACACATCCCGGGAAGCCTTGGGAGCAAACACCCCTCTGGAAGGCGCAGCCGACAATGGCTGAAATTCCCAAGTCAAAACACAGCTGGAATAAACCATCCCCACCTTCATTCCAAGCCCAGGCAGGGCAGGAACACGTGTCCTGCAGGTGAGGTTCCTCCTGGGGCTTCTCCAACAGCCAAATGCCGGGAAAACCAGAATCCCAGGGACTAAAGGCTGGAGGGAACTCGGATTAAAATTCCAAATCCCACGTGCTGCCTGTAAAATCCATGGGAGCAAATATTCCAGAGCCTTCTCAAAGCCAAGAGACACTGCCCGGGTGGAGTCACCTGCCAGGGAAAACTCCCGGGAACACGTCAGGAAAAACACACACAAACATCCCTGCTGTGCCAAAACCACCACGGGACACAGGGGAGACACAAAACCCCTGGAGAATGGGATTGAATCCATGTAGGAACAGCTCCACGTGCCAGACAGGACCATCCTGCCTTGGAAAAAAGAGTCCAAGGCCGGGTTGGATGGGGCTTGGAGCAACCTGGGATAGGGAAAGTGTCCCTGCCCTCGGCAGGGGGTGGAACGGGATGAGCTTTAAGCTCCTTCCAATCCAAACCAGCCTGGGATTCTATGGAACAGCTGGAATTCTGCCCAGGATCCTGCTTTCTCCTCTCTCAGTTGTGACACCAAGGAAAGACCAACCCCAGGGAGACACAACCTGAGGGAACACCACTGGGATTTGGGATCGAGGAAAAGGAAGGAGAGAAGGGAAACACCAAAATTGAGCGAAAACTCACCAAAATTAAGGGCAAACACACCCAAATTAAGGGAAAACATCCCGAAATCAAGGGAAAACATCCCAAAATCAAGGGAAAACATCCCAAAATTAAAGGAAAAATCACAAATTTAAGGGCAAACACACCAAAATTAGAGGAAAACACACCAAAATTAAGGTAAACCACTTCAAAGTTAGGGGGAAATGCCAAAATTAAGGGAAAAATCACCAACTTTAAGGGAAAACAGCTCAAAATTAAGGGAAAACACTGTGGTGGGAACACTGAGGGCTGTGGAATGAGGAGATAACAGGGAGTCAGCTCCTGGATTCCCATCCCACTCTGGGACTTGTCTCCAGAAGTGGCTGCACTTTGTCAGGACACTCCAGCACCATTCCTGACCTGGAGCTTCCCGAGGCCGCCTGGGAGAAAGGTGGGAAAAGGCCTCGTCCCACCCCGGGCCCAGATTTAGGTCAGCAGCACCTCCACTGGAATTCCCTGGAATTCCTGTCCCTTCAGCCAAGGGGAAGAATTCCAGCTGCTGACCTGCTGGGCTCCCGGGGGAGCTCCAGCCTTTTGAATGCCAAGGACATTCCCAGTGATCCTGGGGTTATTCCACACATGGAACACTCCCCCAGGCAAGGGTTTCCACCCCCCTTCTGTTCCTCCTCCAAGCATTCCTTGGAATTCGGGTCGTTAACAGCAAGACACCCAAGCTCTGCTCCTGCCCCTCCTAAGAAATGCTCTTCCCGACTGGAAAACCCCACTGGAAAAGCCAAACACCCCAGGGAGAGGTCTGGGCAGGAGATAATCCCTGAGCCCCTGCAGGGACAGGAAAACCATCCCAAATAAAGCCATTCCCAAAAGAGACTGGCAGGGAAAACGCTGGGGAGCAACACCCCAAACCCCACCGGCTGCTCCAACACCCCAATCCCAGGGCCAAAATCCAGGGATTTATACACACAGGGGCGCAGGGATGAGAGTGGGGATGTGGATTCATGTGGAATTAACGCGGGAATAACGGGACACTGGGGGGAAACGCGGCTTTTGGGGGAAACAGGGATTTTGGCGGGAAACGTGGCCTGCTTTGAGGGAAATACGGATTTTTGGGGGGAAATACGGACTTTTGAGGGCAAACACGTCTTTTATGGGGGAAACCATGGATTTTTTGGGAGAAGCATGGATTTTAGGGGGGGGACATGGCTTTTGGCGGGAAATGGATTTTAGGGCGGGAAATATGGATTTTTGGGGGGAGAAATATGGATTTTTGGGGGAAAACACGACTTTTGGGCAGAAATGAGGCTTTGTGGGGAATGGCTTCTGGGGGAAACAAGGATTTTTTTGGGGAAAATGGCTTTTTTGGGAGGGAAATATGGCTTTTAGGGAGGGAAAAGTGGATTTTAGGGGGAAACGGCTTTTGGGGGGAAAGAGCTGCTAGAGGGGAAACATGGATTTTTTTGGGGAAAAATGGCTTTTCTGGGGGCAAATGTGGCTTTTAGGGAGGGAAACATGGATTTTTTTGGGGGGAACGGCCTTTTTTCTTGGACAAATGGTTTTTTGGGAAGAGTAAACAGTTTTGTGAGGGGAAACGGCTCTTAGAGGGAAACACGTTTTTTTCTGGGGGAAACATGGCTTTTGAGGGGGAAGTGTGGGTTTTTGGGAGGGAAACGGCTTTCAGAGGGAATAACGGCTTTTTTAGGGGGAATAGTGGTTTTGAGGGGGAGAAACATGGCTTTTTGGGGGGAAACATGGGTTTTTGGGGGGGGAAACACGGCTTTTCCTGGGGCCCTGAGGGAACCCGGCGCCGCCCCCCCGGGGCAGGGAAGGGGCTTCCCCCTTAGGGGATCCGGTTACACTCCCCGGGGGCTCTTCCCTGCGAGAGGACCCCCCAAAAACCCCTGGGGGGAGGGGGGGGAAGGTCTCACCGCACCCTCCTCCCTCAGATGTGGGTCCCTCCGGGCCAGGCCCGTCCCGCCCCATGGGCCAGTCCCGCCGCCCCGGAAGGGCCGCGCCCGTGGGAAGCCGCGCGGCGGGGCCGCTCTCACCTGCCGGCGGGGCCGGGCCGGGCCGGGCCAGGCCCTCAGGGCTGCGGGCGGCGGGGCGGCCGCGTCTCCCCGGTGACGGCCCCGGCCGGCGCCGCCATCTTCGCTCCCCGCCCTCCCGCCGCCGCCCCGGCCGCGCCGGCCGCGCACTGCGCAGGCGCGGCACCACCCCCGGAATCACGTGACATGAGAGGGACAGAACCGCCCGAGTTACCATGATGGGAAGGTCAACGCTCCGCACTGGGGGCGCGGCCGCCATGTTTGACGGGTCCCGTCGCCATCTTGGGAGCGGCGGGCGGGCGGTGCCGCCATGTTGGGGAGGTCGGCGCTGAGGCGGAGGGGTCAGGGCGGGTCCCGCTCCCGCTCCCTGTCCCGCTCCCTTCCCGGGCTCCCACCCTCATCCACAGCCCCGGGAGGCACAGTGCGGGCACGGGGAGCCTCCCTGCCCAGCCCTGCGTGTTTCCCCCAGCCCTGTAGCCTCCTGAGGGCTCGGCGGGCGGGCGGGATGTGACCCATCCCCGAGCCTGGAGGTCACTGGTGCTCCGTTGGCCATGGAGGTGAGGAAAGGAGGGAGCGGAGCCCGTTCCCTGTGGGAACATCCGCTGTGTTTTGGCGCCAGTCCCGCTGGCCAGTGGCGTGCGGACGTTATTCCTTAGGGAAGGGGCACAGGGAGTCACCGCCGCCCTCTCTTTGTCCCACAGAGCTGCATCCCACAGGGAGGAGCCCGCCCGGCATCCCAGGCGCCTTCCCTGCCCGAGGGGATGAGCCGGGAGCCTCGCGGAGAGCTGGGATTGCAGGGGATAGCACATGGAATGTGTCCCAAGTGCCCCGTGGGGGGCTGGGATAACCCGGCAGGAGACGTGGGATTCACCCCCCACCAGGTGAGTACCACATTCCCAGAGGATCCCAAAGGATGCCCGCGGTCAGGCAGGGCTGGGAACGGGACTTCTTGCAGCAGGATGGAGGGGAACGCCCGGGAAAACGCCGCTGGAACGCTGCATGGGATGGAGCCAACAATGCCCGGCTGCTGGAAAACTCGGTGCCTGTTTCCCTCTGGAAAAATCCTAGAGGATGGGCAGGAACAGCCCGAGGCTGCTGCGCCTTTTCCTCGCGCTCCCAGGGCGGGGGGACGGTGTTTCCCACCCTTCTGAGCCGCCCAAAGAGCTGAAATCCAAGGATTTAAACCTCCCCGAGCGCCGCACGCCCCGGGCTTTGCATCAGGGTTTGTTTGAGCTGGAGGTTTATTGGTGCTTTTAAGGAATTCAGTCGCCATCTGCCGGCAAATGTGCCTGCTCTGGGGGGAAATTCGGGATTTAAGGGCAGTTTTTGTGATTTCCTGGGTGGAAATGAGGATTTTTAGGATGCTTGAAGGGGCAGGTGGGTTTGGAGTGAGGAAAATGAAATGCGGATCCCACCCCAGAGACCTCTGCGTCGCTCAGAGCTTAAAATAATACATCAGCGTGGGGAATATCTTGGGGGTAAATGAGATAAATTGAATAAATTAGAGTTTTTTTGGGGAAGTTTGATGTTTTTAAAGGTTTGGGCTGGTCCTTGTGCTCCATTAG